TTTAACTCAGAAGTTGGGCAATGAAACTATATTCTTCAGTAAACAAATGGAGCAAAAATGCAACGCCCACCGTCTGGCAGGTGCAAAAAAATTTGCCACGGCTAAAAAAATAGTGGCCGTGGCTAGCGTCCATTTTGACCTGAAGCAATATGTGAGGGTTATTAAACGGTCACCCCAGCAGTATACTCACTATTAGCTGGGGAAGGGACTTAGGACATTACTTCCACCAGCAAGCGTCGACCCTACAACGACCTGACAGCCATGCAGTTCTTTGGCACCAAGGAGGCACCTTGAACTTGGGTTTCGGACTGCCGACTACCTACAAGATGTTATATTATTTTATGTTATCACAATCGACGGCACTGCACATTGGGCATTCCTATGCGTGCTCAGTCCTCCGATGCAGCAGCTACTCCAAAGTACTTCTACTAATTTTTCCTATGAGACGCTGATTATATTGTCTCCTATCTCGGCCTCGAAGACGGCAAAGACGTGCTTCACCTTGCTTTACTCCCATGTCACGCAATCGTGCCGGTGTCAGGGATTCCTCATTATCCACCAGCTCGGTCCGTACAGCGTTGGCGATATCTGCTCTCTCCATGCTTTTCCCGCAATCCTGAGTGCATTGCTTGCCAGTTGGTCCGCTTTCTCATTTCCCTTTATGCATGCACGACCCGGTGTGTAGATCCAGGTTACGGAGGTTAATTGTGATTTTCGAATGCTTTCTATCCATTCATAGCGTATACCGCCTGTTGCTATCTTCTGAAGCATATTCATGGAGTCTGATTCAATAACTGAATTTGTGGCTGTTTGCTCGGTACCCATGCTAAAGCTCTAGAAGCAGCGGCTATTTCCGTGGTCATGCTTGACGTGTTTGTCTGGTAAGCGCCGCTGTCCGCCTGTATTGTTTTTCCCCTTCCTTGCACTGTGTATGCCCATGCTGACCTTGATCCGCGCTTCACGGATCCATCTGTGTAGATGATGGTAATTTCTGGGTCTGAATGCTGATCTATCAGTTCCCTTACTTCGGTGTCTACGGCCGCAGGAATTTGATCCCGACAGTACCTTCCGAGTGTGATGACAACCTTAGAGATGCCATGTATGTCTACTGGTGAATTCGTCCATTCTTTTTCGTCAAGAAAAGATATAAAATCGAACGAAAAGTATATTAGCAAGCTTCACAACACAATCTCACTCACATTCTTTTCCGTGACTGATCATGTCTAGGTGACATACCTGCTGGATTAAATCCTCAGCCTTTGCCATCCAAGAGTGGCCTCTTTTGAGACGCGTTTCTTTTGTGTCGTGAATAGCTTTGTGCAGTTGGTGGTTAACGTCTACCGATACCCTCATGTACGCCTTGACTTGTGCCACTTTGTATCTGCTAGTCATCGTCGGCAAACCCAGGACATAACGCATGGCGTTGCAGGAGGTGTCTTTTGTGCAGCCGAGTATGAGTCTCATGGCCTCATTTTGTACTCGGCCCAGTCTTTCTAGCTGGGTTTTTCTGACAGTGAAGAGGCCAAGACCATAGTCAATGACGCCTAATACAAGCCCTTGACAGAGACGGAAAAGTAGGCGTTGTTCAATATCAGCTGCTGCTAGCCCCTTGAGTGCTGTCAGACCTTTTCTGGCTCTAAGTATGACGTTGTCTACGTGGCATTTGTATGACAAACATCTGTCAAATGTCATGCCCAGGTATTTCATGGTGTCCGTTCTCTCGATGTCCACACCACATATGTTTATGACTGTCGTTGGTGTACTGACGATGTGGGTATTCAGAGAGAACCATGTTAATTAGGCTTTGGACGTGTTCACCTGAGCTCTTGATTCCTGGCACCACTCACTAAGTCTGACTAATTCGTGTTGTAGTGTGGTTGTAATTTCCTGCCTGTTTTTACTTCGACGGTAAACAATGATTTCGTCTGCATACGACATTGTTCTGCCTAGGCCTACGCTTTGTGCACTCGTGACTCCTGCTGTGTACACATTGAAGAGCACAGGCGACAATGGTGATCTCTGGGTGAGACACATTAGAACGCGTTAAGGTTCGGAGGCTCATTAATCTACAATCGCACCATCACGATAGCCACAGTAGAAAAGCATTCAAAATGAAATCAGCAGCTCACAGTGTCACGCCACCGTGTGGCAGAAGCAAAAAAAAAAAAAAAATTGCCACTGTTCACAACGGTGTACTAGCGCCCATTTAGTAGTGGATCCCGCAAGGAGGGACGTATGAGAGGAAGAGAACGACTCGTGTCTAATCAGTGTGCTACGGGAAGAGTTAGCATCTACACTTTAGGACATTTTCCATAGACGGAGCATTTATGGGTAAGTCCAGGGCGTTATTTTGTTATATTCTTAACATAGGAGCTATGAGGCGTTGACCTGGCCGGGGTTAAAGGTCGGAGATCAAGTGTCAGGGCCTCATTCTCAGCAGTGTTGCCACTTTGGATCTTTTATATCCAAATTTAGATCTTTTTCGTTGCATTTAGATACTGTTTTTGACGTTTAGATCGTAAATATTTTTCTAGAAATTTTCTTATGGAGTTAGATATTTTATAGATTTTTTTCTTTCATTGTCAATTAAATAATTACTGTGTTAAATATTTACTTCAATATTTTTGTTTTGATCTGGCACGTACATTGTGACAACTGCCATTACTTTAACTTTGAACTCTCACTGGGGTCAACGCACAAATATATGGCAGCCCCAGTACTGATTAATAAAAACGCGCGTAAATCATACTAACTTTGTTTCAACCGTATCCTTACTGTGCTGACTTTGCGTTTCATTTTCATGTGATTTAAAAAAAATTGCTCACCTTCTTATGTGGCTTTCACTTTGAAAAAACCTTTCAACATGCCAAAAGTAAAGTATGAGCAAAAAATTTGGAAAGAGTGGTTGCATGATGACAAAATTAAAAACTGGGGATATGACCAAAGCTTGTTGTAAGTACTGCAAGTGTGAAATTAAAGCGAAAATACAAAACTCAAAAGAGTCATGCAGAGACTAAAAAAGCAAAAAACTGCAGTTTCATTTAAAGATATTACACCGCTGACATCTGTTTTCAGAACTATACTGATAAATGAATCATCAAAAGTTGAAGTATCAGTCCTAATGTTTTTAATTTGTCACTGCGCAATTTCAAACTGTGACCATTTGATCGATTTGTAAAAAATCTTGGACTAGTTCAATTTGAAAAGTGTAATGTAGAAAGTATAGTTTAGGAACTGAAGGACCTTTTAATCAGCAAACAGTTAGGCTTGAAGAATTTGGCTGTAATTGGTACTGATAATGCCTCAATTATGGTTGGTATAAACAATGGCGTTTATGCCAAGTTGAAGGAAGCTAGCCCATCGTTAATACTTATAAAATGTATGCGTCATTCATTGCAGCTAGCATTATCACATGCTTCATCTAAATATTTACCAAGGAATTTGGAATACCTTATTGCTGAAACACTTTACTGGTTTTCCAAATCATTTGTCAGACAACAGCAATACAATACATTATATACAGCCTTGATTGATGGCTCCACACCACCGAAAATTCTGTCAGATTGCATAACTAGATGGTTATCAATCTAACCAGCTGTTGAAAGAATTATGAAGCAATGGCTGAAGTTGAAGACACACTTTGAAATAACAAGACAAAGTGAAAAGTGCTACACAGCTGAAATTCTATATGGAATGTACAGTGATGAAAAAAATTTGTCATTCATTTTCTTTTTATAACCTATTCTAATGGAAGTGCAAAAAGTTAATAAACTGTTCGAATATAAACTTCTTTATGAAGTGAAATTACTTGATGATCTCACCTTGCTATTTCACTCGGTAAAAGACTGGTGTTGCCAACTTCCAAAGCTGATTTGCTCACTTGCACTATAGAGAGCTATTTGGCTCCTAAGCCACACCTTGGATATTAAATCGAATCAAAAATTGATAATTTAAAAACAAAAGGACTGTTGACAGAGAATGAAGAGAACAACTTAAGAAAACGCTGTCAAGATTCCCTTATCTCATTATTGAAGCAATTGAAGCAGAGACTTCCTGAAAATCTAGATGTTTTGAAAAATATCTCACTTTTTTCTGTGAGCAACATACTTCAGCCAATAAAGGACATACCTAAATATTGTAAAGTTATGAAATTTTTAGGGGCTACTGATAACAGTGTCGCAGAAGCAGAATATCAGTTAACCAAAATAAAGTTAGCTGAATGGACAAACAAAACAGAAATTAAAGCGTTTTGGAGTGAAGTGAGACAATTTAAAGATGCCTCATCACACAGTCCATTCTGTAAGCTCTTTGAAGTGCCATGTCTGCCATGATACTACCCCACTCAAATGGTGACGTAGAAAGAGTTTTCAGTGCTAGGAATTATATCAAATCTAACCTAAAAAACAGGATGAAATTTGACCTCTTAAATGCTATCGTGCCATTAAAATTCGGCCTGATGAGACTAGAGAAATAAGCCTACTGTTCCACTTATAAAGAAATTTGAACAGCTAAAGCATACCAGAGTCATTTTGGATCTGAAACTTCAACTTCATTATCAAAGCTAAGTTTATCCTGTGGATCTTGTGAGGCAGACATCAGTGAAGGTGAGGACATGATTATGTAGGGTAAGTCATAACAAAAGCTAGGTAATTTTTGACTTTTTCAATTTGGATGTTTTTTCTAGATCTTTTCCATGCAGATTTAAATCTTTTTAGATATTTTTTGACACCATTTTGGATATTTTTTGTCAAAGAAAAGTGGCAACACTGATTTTCAGTTCTCAGTGCTCCAATATGGCGGCTGCCGTCTGCTGAGGCAGGAAGTTAGGCTGCCTCCAGTGGCTATAGTTTGTTTTCTGGCAGTCAGCGCCTTTCCGCCGCCGCAGACTTCATGTGTGGCATACCGTATCTCTTGGCCTGCTGTTTTATAGTTTGTTTATAGGGATATGTAGCTGGTGAGGGACTAAAGCGTCGCTAAAGGCCGAGACTGCAGCAGCACCCATGGGCGGACAGAGCAGCAAGTCTGTGGCTGGCAGCAGCAGCGCCACACTGAAAGCGAAATCCAAGTCCCTCAAGGAGCCCAGACAGTCCCAGGGAAATATATTTGCTGAACATTCGGGTAAGATTCTCAGACCGTCTCAGGGAAATATATTTGCTGAACATTCGGGTAAGATTCTCAGACCGTCTCAGGGAAATATATTTGCTGAACATTCGGGTAAGATTCTCAGACCATCCCAGGGAAATATATTTGCTGAACATTCGGGTAAGATTCTCAGACCGTCCCAGGGAAATATATTTGCTGAAAATTCAGGTAAGATTTTCAGACAGTCTGTGCGTACATAGAAGGTAGCCTTCATTTGATGAGTATTTCCTCAAGAATATCTCCAGATCAACAAGACGAGATTAATCATGTTTGCATGGGAGGTTTGCACTTCGATTCCAGCAACTGTGACATTTAACATCTTTGTTCTCATTCTGTAGTGTCATAATTTCTGAAACTGTCACCACTTATTTCTAGTTACTTCTACATAGAGTTACTCGCCACACTTTCACATTTCTGAAACTGTCACCGCTTATTTCTTGTTACTTCTACATGGAGTTACTCGCCACACTTTCACATTTCATCAGAAACATTTCCATGGTTTACACACACATTTATCTGTTCATCTAATCTCTAAACATATAAATATACGGGCTCCCCTCCGAATAACGGTCCTAAATTATCTACGCAGAAAGTAAACCCTAACAGAGCCTCAGTCATGTCTAAAATTCGCATTTCTCTTGCGGCGAATGAACCGCGTCAAAAGTAGGATTAATTGCGCACAACTTTTTTGTGAAACGCAATGGATTTTTTTAACGACGATTAAACGGCAGCATAACTAGGATTAACTACGGAGGAAAAATTAGCGAAACGCAAGGATACATCCGATAGGGCTATCCTACGGCAGGGCCTCAGTTATATGTAAGTTGCAGACCATTTTTTGCCGACTATAGTGCCACCTCCGAGAGTATCCCCCGCGCGTAGCGGCGCGGAAGGTGCTAAACTAGATGGCTGGGACTCACGAGCAGCAGCTACCGCTTCTCCTGCAGCTTTCTGCATTGTATTTGCTCGTGAGTCCTAGCCATCTAGTTTAGCCTCTTCCACGCCACGCTTAGCGGCATGGGGAATACTCTTGGAGGTGGCACTATGGTCGCCGGAAAAAAGTCTTACAATTTACCTGAGCTACTTCTTCCGCAAGTACCAGCCTGGTCGCATCGGCCACGGTCACTGGGTGGTCGGGCTAGTGGAGCGCCATAGTGGCCGCTGCTGGTTTGAAGTTGTCCCGAGGTGTGATGCGCGGAGATTAGAACTCGTCATTGCTGATCACGTGTTGTCATCCTCATGCTAATAGTTATAGATTTTTTTTAAAAGCACAATTTTTTTCTACTACAGACTTTCCCTTCACTGTAGGTGGAAACATTCAGCCAGATCTGTGATGAACAGAACCATTGATGTAGACTAGTACCTCATCTAACCCAGTGTTTTCATCAAACTGTCGTTGTACTTCTAATTCTGCCACACCTAATGGAATAGTGACCTGATGAAACCTGCTGTTGTGGGTGTTCCTTTTAACCCATCATACACAGAGTATCTGCCCTTGTCCAATACGAATCTTCTTGTAACTATCGCTTCTGGCGCCAGAACATTCGCTCTTTCATTCTCTCACACTCCTGCATATCCCGGAGAGTATGTCCACGTGATTCCCTGCAATGCTTGGAATCATTCATGCCAATTTAGCTCATTTTGAACCTTCCCCAATACCGACTGAGAATCAGATGCAAAAATTCCATGTGTATGTAGCCTTGTGTATCCAGCTATGTGTATCCAGCCATGTTTATCTCGCCATGTGTATTTCCTCAGATAAGACCCTCACCCTATGGTATCTTCAGATAGTGCCATGTATAGCTTTTCTCTGTTCAGTCTCCTCTGACATCATTCAGATAGCCGTGCAGCGGATGTTTATCATACCCAATACCACAGCCTAGAAGTTTCTAGAACATAGATGTCGTTAAAATTCATTTCATTAGCTTCTTTCAAACAATCGTTGTTAGTTACTCTGGCCGTCCAAGGTATTCGTAACAATCGTCCTAGAAACCACATCTCTGTTGCTTTCAAATTCTTCCTCATTTGTTCACTGACATTTTAAGATTCACTGCCATACAGCAGAATAGATTCTATATAATATTTTAGCACCCTCTTTCTGACATTAAATGAAAGTGATTTATTGCATATGGTATTTTTCATTTTCTGAAATGCAGCTTTTGCTTGACCTATTCTCCTTTTAATCTGTCGCACATTTTTTCATCTAATGATGTGATTGTTTCCAGATATTTGAATTTATTTTGGTTTAGTCTTTTTCCTTCAGTTGAGATATCACAACATGGAGTTATCTTCTTCTTTGATATAAGCATTGCTTCCATTTTCTTAATATTCAGTAAAAGTCCTTTCTTAGAACTCCTACAATATCCAGCAGTTGTAAATCAGTTGCATTTTCAGCTATCAAAACTATCGTCTGCATAACTCAAATTGTTTATATTGTATCTTTCAACTCTTACTCCTGCATTCTCTTTAATTTCCCTCAAAATTATTTCACTGTATAGAGAAAAAAAAGATCTGGGGATAAGACACATCCCTGTCTCACTCCTGGCTTTATCTGTTCAAAAGTACCCAATCTGTTTCCGGCTTTAATTGCTGCTACTTGGTTCCAGTTAATGTTTTTAATTATTCTAAGATCTTTCCCGTCTACATTGATGTCTTCCAACATTTTTATCATCTCTTCATGTTTAACTTTGTCAAATGCTTTGGTATAATCTATAAAGCACAAATATAAGTCTTTTTTTTATGTCTCTTGATCTTTCTATCAGTGTTCGTAATATGTATATTGCATTACTAGTCCCTTTACCTTCCATAAATCCATACTGCTGTTCACTCATTTCCATTCCTATTTTTCTTTTTGTTCTTCTCATTATAAATCTAAGTAGTAATTTGGTGACATAATTTATTAAGTTGATTGTACAAAATTCTTTACACTCAGTTTTCTCTGATCGTTTGGGTAACGCAATAATTACAGATTTCATCATATCACTTTGAATGTACTCTGTGTTATAAATATCATCATCAGTTTAGTTAATAGTTCTACCCCAAATTCCCACTGTTGTATGTACGGTTCCTTAATTGACTGTTGCTCACTGTCTAGGTGAACTGCTGACTAGTCGACAGTTTAACTAACTTGTGGCTGTTGCTGTGTTCAGAGGTTGTGCTCCAGTACCGGCCCTTGCCTGATGCTCCGCTGGGAGGCAGCAGATGGATGTCCAAGGAGAACCTGCTGTCAGTCAGTGTGGAGGACGATGACCCCAGCTTGTTTGTGGCTCTCTACGACTTCCAGGCAGGGGGAGACAATCAGTTGAGCATTTCCAAGGGTGGGTCAGTTGTTGATCTTGCCTGCTGTTGTTTTTTGTTGCTGCCATTGTTAACTTTTGTCTTGTTAAAATGACTTCCGTAAATATACCTGCCCCCCCCCCCCCCCCCCCCCCCCCCCCCCCACACACACACACAAACATCTCACTTATTTTATCTCCCCCACATATAAAACTCTTCGTTTCTCTCAGCCTACATGTTCCTCCACATAAAACTCTTTTCATTTATCTCTCCCACATCCTTTAAGGACCATGTGGAGAGTGTTGGGACAAGATGCCAAAAATGTTTCAGTGCACTTAAGATTATGGCTGCAATTGACATAGATCAGAGAATACTTTTCACACTAGATCAGCACCTGATCCTGTCAGTGATTGATTATGGCCTGGGACTGCTTACTGTCTCAAAGAATCAGATGGCAAACTAGAGCGCATACAGAACGCAACAATGCAGGTCGTTCTGGGTTACACCAGAGACACCCCAGTGGTGTTTATCCGATACATCCTTGGTTTGCCAACGGTTATAGGTAGCCATAAGGTGCTTCAGACGAAGTCTTATTTCAAAGTAGCTGCAGACACAGATCACACTTTATACAAAGCTCTGGGCGCAGTTAAGGCTCAGAGGCTAATAAGAGGGAAGTCATGGATGGCTCAGGCAGAAGACACAGACAGGTCTGCATCCTGGTTAACAAACAAACAAACTTAATTTTCAAAGGGTCACAAATTGGGCATGCAGGCCCGCCTGACATTCAGCCCTTCCCAACACCCGTCTTTCACACTGCGGCTGTATTTGATCAATAAGCATGTTGTATTCATATGATAATATGCATATTATGAATATCCACACACACAAAAAAGCCCCCCAAAAACACAAAAGCATGGGTGGTATTATGCATGTATACACTAGCGGGGGCGCACACACGCACACACATATCCACCCACTCACTTAAACACACCCACATACCTTCACTCACATATAAACACACCCCCATTCACCCACCCACATACATACCTACCTACCTACCTACCTACCCACATAGACACGCACATTTCACACACATACATACATACATACATACAAATATATACATGCACACACAGACACACCCATAGAAACGAATGCGCACACACACACAAATTCTTGTAATGAGTTCTCCACCCTTTCCACTAACTGTCTAAGTGTAAGTAAGTGTTGCATCAGTACAACTTCAGTTCTCCCGAAGTCCCATTTGTTCTTCACTAAGTTGTGGTTCGAGACAAACGCGCACATACCCAATCACACACACAGATACACACACCTGCATACAGACTCACACACGTGGACACACACATATGAACAAACACACAGGCACAAACACAGATTCTCGTACACAGACACACTCGGAGACACACAAACATACACGATCGCAGACATACTCACACACACGCTGACGGTCACGCAGACACATACACACACAGACACAACCTCGGTCATACACATGCAGAAGCATACGCAGACACTCATACACACAGGCACACACAGACACACACACCCACAGACACATAGACACAAACACATATGCAGACATACATATACAGAGGCAAACACACGCAGACACACATGTAGACACACCCAGAGACACTACACACAGAGACACACACAAACACACACAGACAAATACACACAGACACACACAGAGACATACACAGATATTAACATTAGGTGAGGAGAGTAGTTGGTCAGGGTGCTAGCTGAACAGTCAGACTTAGGCAGGGTCGTAATCACATTGAGCCAGGAATGCAGAGACTGGCCAGTAGTAGGTGCTCGCTCAGAGGATGTGATTTTTTTTTTTTATACAGATGGTTTAGGGTCACAAAGCAAAAGAAGTGTTTAGGGTTTCTTAGCAAAGGTTATTGGTCAGTGTTTGTTACAGGAGAGCCTAACATATGATACAACATCCAGCTTAAGAATGGAGGTGGAGGCGGTTACTGAAGCTTTCCGCTGGTTTGAGAACATGACACACGTACACATTGTGATTGTAACTGACTCAGAAAGCATCCTGAGGAAGGTTAGGACAGGCATGCTTTGTGCAGAGTGTCATGCTTTCCTGCGGAGAACATGGATGAGGAGTATTGTCATGATTTTTTTTTTCCGGGAAACGCAGGTGTGTGGGAAATGAACAGATGGACAAACTGGCTGGCTGTTCAAAAATTGGTGATATATTGATGCATGATAAGGCAGAGGTGGTTGGGTCCTTGTGGGAGAGCGTGTACAGTTCGAAGGACCAGATGGATCACGAAAGTCTGGTAAGATTGATGCAGCGGGGAATGAGAAAGGGGTCCTGGCCGATGCCTGAGGCTCAGAGGAAAGGCGAGACTGACGTTTAATCAGCAAAGCTACTGGCGCCATTAGTGTTGGAACTCTGCGCTGGCTCCTGAAGATGGAGACGAAGCGCTTATGGTAAAGCCCCGAGTGCTGTAATGTCGGTTCTTGAATCAACTCAACTCAACTCTCCCGCGTATCTTCTTCTTTCTTTTCTCTACTCCTGGAATGCCTTGTGGCATATGGGCTGGAAGAGATCTCTGGAATAGGCAGTTCTGTTCACTTCGTATAAAGTACATTTCAGCGCCTCTGATATTTCAGCAGTCCATATTTTGCAAGGTCAGCCTCTAGATCCGTTACCATTACATCTGTATAGCACTGCTCTCTGTGCTGTCCTGATACCAGTCTTGTTACATGGCCAAACCATTGACTTTGTTGTCTACCTATACAGTTCAGTATTGGTTCTGTGCCGACGCTCCTCCTGATATCATCGATACACCTAGCATGGTACGTAAACATTTCATTTCTATCGTGACTATTATCCTTCATTCTGAAGATCGTGTCCATGTTTGACATTGATAGCACAGCGTTGGTAAGAATATTGTGTTAAAAGAAAGAAGAAGAATATTGTGTTAAACAGGGTTCTTTTGGTGTTCATATTCACATTTTAGCATTTCAAAATTGGTGCCATTTTGCCTAATACAGTTGGCTTTATTGCATCTTTGTTGAATTTCTTAAATAATGCTTCCGTCTTCTGAAAAACAGCTCTAACTGATTTCCATCAATTTTGATATTGGTGGTTCTCTCTTTTCTGGAGAATATCTTCACTTTTGTTTTGTCTACGTTGATCATCATATCATAGCTGTCTCATTCTGAGTGGAGTCTGTTAATATGTTCTTGTAGTTGTACTGCTGTTGGTGCTATGATTGCCAGGTGGTTGACAAAAAGCAGTTTATAAAGTAATTCTCTGATGTTGTCCCCTTCGCTGATGTTAGCTGATTTGCAAATTTGGTCGACAAATGTGATGAACAGTAGTGGTGTTAGAACGCACCCCTGTCTCACTACAGATCTAATGTAGAACTTTTCTGACATCCCTTTATTTGTTTTAACTGCGCATTGGCTTTCCATGTAAAAACTCTTGCTCAGTTTAATCAGATGTTTGTATACTCCACAATCCTGTCATTGACTGTCCATGTTAAAACTCTTGCACAGTTTAATCAGATGTTTGTATACTCCACAATTCTGTCATTGACTGTCCATGTTAAAACTCTTGCACAGTTCAATCAGATGTTTGTATACTCCACAATCCTGTCATTGGCTGTCCATGTTAAAACTCTTACTTACTTACTTAGTCGCTCCTCTTCTACCTTGGGGTGTAGAGGTTTGCCAGAGAGATCGCCAGACTTCTCTATCAGCAGTTTTCTTTCTGGCTTTGTTCCATTCCAGTCCTCTGTCAGTTAGGGACTGTCGGATGTTGTCTTCCCAGCGCACCCTGGGTCGTCCCGGAGGTCTGGTTCCCTGGTAAAAACTCTTGCACAGTTTAATCAGATGTTTGTATACTCTCCACAATCCTGTCATTGGCTGTCCATGTTAAAACTCTTGCACATTTTAATCAGATGTTTGTATACTCCACAATCCTGTCATTGACTGTCCATGTAAAAACTCTTGCACAGTTTAATCAGATGTTTGTATACTCCACAATCCTGTCATTGACTGTCCATGTAAAAACTCTTGCACAGTTTAATCAGATGTTTGTATACTCCACAATCCTGTCATTCACTGTCCATGTAAAAACTCTTGCTCAGTTTAATCAGATGTTTGTATACTCCGCAATCCTGTCATTGACTGTCCATGTTAAAACTCTTGCACATGGGTCATAATGTTCGTTCCTACCTCTCATAACTTTAATTTGCTTATAACAGTTTTTCATAGCACTTTTGTGGTTAGCATTCAAAATTTCGCCGTATTCCTGCTATGGTGTTTCTTTGGCATTTCTGGCAACATTTCTGGCTGTCGTTCTTGCCGCGCTGTATTTTTCAAGATCATCTGTATTTTTACTTGTATCTCATATCTGGTATCTAAATTTCTTTTCATTGACTTCTGTTTTTGACTTCCTCCCTCCACCACCAGACTGTTATTATTGGTCTTGTGCTTCTCTTCTTTACCATTACACAAGTTTCTCTTGCTGCTTCTAACATAGAACTTTTACAAATGTCCTGCTCCTCCTCTACTGATTTGGTTTTTTTAATTAGCCTGTTATAATCTTCAGTAGTTTTTTGAAGGTATGCTTCTTGTGTGTTAGCGTTCTTCAAGTTTTGACTGTTGTTTGTTTCTGTTGTGGTTGAACGTAGTCCTCTAGTATTTCTCCCATTGTTTATCCTCATGGTCACATGACCGCGTGTAAAACTCTTTATTTCTCTCCCCCACATGTAAACTTTTTCATTTATCACCCCCACACACACACACACACACACACACACACACACAAGCTCTTTATTCCCCCCCCCCCCCACATGTAAACTTTGTCATTTATCACCCTCCCCCACACACACATACACACAAAACACACAAAACTCTTTTTTTTCTCTGGTTAAGGGGACCCACCCCCATGTAAACCTTTTCATTTCTCCCCCCCCCTTGGTCACACACACACACAAGCTCTTTATTTCTCTCCCCCAACATGTAAACTTTTTCATTTATCACC